GCTTATCGTATCAGCACAAAATAATAACAAATCGCTAGATAAGCTAGTTCAACTTGAACATATTTTTGAACCTAAGTATATTATGGACTTAGGTCATCGAACATTAATTCACTTAGAAAAACTTGATGATCCAGATGCTGTTACAAGTGAATATAATATTGTAAATTGATATTATTTCTATTTATTAGAAAATCCTTCACACTGAAATAAAGAATTTTGAACCAATTTCATTAAGAATTTTGAAGCTTATACAAGAAACAATTTACTTCTCTTTACAAGCTCTAATATTGTGAGTATACATAATATTAATTATCATGAATATATCAATAAATTACTTTAGGATCTTAAGAAATTATTGGAAAGTGTTAATCAGTTTCTTCAAGAGTATTATATGAATTTATACACGAAATTAAGCAAATTATTATGGGGTCTATTTGCTCTAAGGGCATTTAGAGTTTTCTCAATAATAGCTATTAACTTTAATACTATTAGTGACTATCTTTAGGATAATCATGATAAACCAAATAGTTTGTGTATTTTAGTCATACTAAGAGATTTCGAAGGAGGAGAATTATGATTTCCTTAATTTCAAGTAGTTATACATCTTCAGCTAGGACAAGTAGTGGCATTTGCATTTCACCTATTGCTTCATGGTAATTTTACAGTTACAAAAGATATCTGGCACAGTATTATATACTTTGTGCATGATACATTCTTTCATAATTTACGAGATTTTGATCCTGCATATATTGAAACTGGAATTGAGAAAAGTAAAGGGCTAATAGTTTTTGAGCAGAACTTTAATAATGCTCAAGATTTAAACCATTGCAAGCAACTTTTCAAACTGAAAGCAAAACAAATACAAATCTCTTTCACTGTTTTTAATCATAGATAAGGATATATAAATATGAATTATTTTATGATTAATAATATAGCTGTTATTATTACTAATAATCAATACTTTCATAGATTTAGCATGTGCTTGACAAGATTTAAGGGCAGAAGATCCACTTCTAAATTTATATGTTATTCAATGTATTACCATGAACTATATTCATATGAAGTATTAGTGATAATACAAAACTTATATAAAATAAATAAAAATTCATAAAAATTATTATCTAAATATATACATTAAACAAAGTTTATTTATTAGATAGACAAGCCTCTTAAATTCTAACTGCATAATTTAAATATCATGAAATCATATAGCATAATAAATAGGGGTATTAAAGTTAAAATCAGAAAATTTTACCTATTTATAATTTAACAATAAAAATATTATTGATGAAATTTTAATTATTTTCAAAATTCATTATTTATTTGCTAACTTTGAAACCCCAATAATTATTTTTTTCCAGTATCAAAATAAGACATATAATTTAATGAATACAGGTTATTTAATAATATTAATTATCGAATTTTATGTGATCTTATATATTACACAATATAGTCATGTTAAAATAAAGTTATATATATGTGTTTACAGATATGATACTAGTATGATATTTCTTACTTGTATTGAATATCCATAGCTTTTATTTTAACTATTATTGAATTTTGTATAAACATATATTGATCAAACATCTAATATATATATGTTTTATCCAATATTTAGTGTTTATTATAGTTAAAAATTTAGAAAAATTATTGCTAATATATACACGACTAGAATAATATGTTTGCCAAATGCTCCACTATGCTAAATATAGTGAGCCTCTTTTTTACAAAGAATTGAGAGCTTTTTCCCATAAATATTTATCTATAGCTTATCAGTCAATCCAATTCTTAAAAACAAAACAATTAGTAACATGTAACAGATAGACCAGATTAATTACTATGTATAGCAATAAAGCAAAACTATCTCTATATATAAATCTTTTTTTTGCTTTTTGCAATAAATTTTTTTAATTTTTTACCAATCCTTTCTTTTTTACACTAGATTGCTTTTGTGTTGATAAGACGACTACTGAAGCTATTTGTATAGGTATGCTTAGTCAAGCAAAAAATTTTGTTTCTTAATATTGAGCAATAGGGCCTCTGACTATATATGTTGTGAGATTGAACATGCTTATAATTACTATTTGGTAGCTTAGTATTTTGGCAAAAGTGTTTGTTTGTTCTGCAAAAATATGCTATTTAGCTATCCTTTAATAATATAGTCTTTTTAGATGCAGTTATAACCTTTCGAGATAGACTTAGGATCTGACTGTTTTCTTCCTAAAATTTGTTTTTCATTCTACTATATAAAAACACCTTCACAAAGGGTGCGATTGTCAGACTATTATTGTCTACGTAGCAAGGAGAAGAAGACCCAATGAGCTTCTTGCAGTTTAGTCTACTAAGCTACGAGATAAGAATTAGTTTAAATATATCCACCTCATTATACTTTTTCTCTGATAGTTATGCAAAAAATTTCATCTATAACTTTAGGTGATAAGGCCTCTGACTTAATATATTTAATTGATATTTATTCATTACAATACCTTTCACAAAAATTGAATTCGGAATTAAGAAAGTATTAAGTTAATAAAATCTAATAGATCTAAATCTCTAAATACAATATAAATCATATATAATTGCTAAATATGTCAAGTATATCTATTTCTATTATTATCGATAAAAAAGCTAAATTGCAGAAATCTATTAATAATAGACCAGGATATGATATGAAATATATTAACTCGTATATTCTAAATTATTGTAACATTAATGATTATCAACAATTCTTTGAAAAACTCTTTAAGACTAAAAGATTATATAACATATTATCAGATATTCGATCAAATGAAACTCTATAGCAATGGGCTATTCGTGTAAGAATTTCATTACAAGAGCTGGTCTCTAAAAAGAAATAGAGCATCTATCATGTGTATTGTTTATATGCGTTATTTGGTAAAGGTAAACTAATAGATTATGATTACTATAAATTTAAAATTCACAAAACCCATATAGTGATATATTTAGACTATATGAAACTTATTTAGGTTAATGATATGAAGCCGAAAAAGAAATTTTACTATACTAGAAATAAATATGTTGAGATGATTGAGGCTGGTGATTTGATACAAGAACATTAGAAAACTGAATGCTCAAAAATTCAGGATGGATATGCTAGAAAGATTCAATATGCTTATAGAAAATTTTAAAAGAAAACACCAACTAATGCATAGCTTGCCTGATTGAGTTTACCAAATGATAATATTCTAGAAGATAAGAAATTTCTGGGTTTAACTTTTCATAAAGTAAAAAATCCTCAAACTTGAGATCAGTTAAATCGATAGAATACTGAGAAAATTGCAATATATAGAAGATGTAATCCTAATATGGTCAGCTATTTTATTAATAATAAATATAAAGAAGATTATATTCTATATGATTGGGTAGGTAGAAAGAAAACCTAATTACAGAATAGATTTTAAAAATGTCTTTTAGCACTTGAAACATAAATAAAATCAATTTCTTAATTATATTATTTATTCGATTTATTAGCATTTTTTTGCATAAAGTAATTGTTCACCGTTTTTCTAATACTATTCTTGAGAGTAGCAAAACTATTCTAACTCATCACAATTGGGTAGTACACAAAGTAAAATAAAAATTTATGAAATGCATACTATAATACTATAGACTTTTCATTTCTGCAAAGCAAGATACTTACATAGCTAATTTTTTAGCCTTTTCAGATTTAGAATTCATGGGCTCTGCAGGTAATACATTTTTTATTGCAGAGCAGGCTATTAGAAGACCTTTTGGGTTCTGGTTTTTTGAACTTATCTTGCATTTTTGCCTAGCTTCTATCTTTTTTCTGCAAGTTCAATGATGTATCAAACTTTAACTGAATTGCAAGAGGATCATTTTCTGATCTAGTGAGATCAAATATAACAAACTCATCTCTACAGAGATAGCTATTAATAATTATGGATGTACTCTTTATATCATCAGTATATCGGCTAGCTATCTTGAACACATCTTGATAACTACTTCCCTATTATATATTACTAGAAGGAAGATATTTTCACAAATAATAATTGGTATATAATAATATTTCTGAGTAACATAGCATGAAGAAATATTTCAATATTGCTTATATATAAAAAATAGTATAATTCGATTTTGGATAGACTTGAAAACAATATATACATCCTCAAAAATGATTACAGTACTCCTCTCAGGTGAAAATGATTTCATACTAGGAATTTGTTCTGATAATATGTAGCTGAATCTAATATTCTCATAATAGGGTGCTTTGAGATTACTTGCTATTATTTCATATATATATCTAATAAATATCTATTTTGGCTTATCAGAATAGTAACTACAAACTATCAAATTATCACATCTAATATATCTAGATTCTTCCTTTTGCCTTTTATATATATGTTTATATTTATCTCCAAAAACAAGACTTGCTAGTAAATTGGTCTTACTTGTACCACTTCTTTTACTGACTATCATCCTAAAAAGCTATATTATTGCTGGATGTCCAATATTTTGAGATAATTCATGCTTTGTGGCCTCATCCATATCTATAAGGAATAGTTTCATAGGAGGTATTTTTAAATTTTTTTGCATAACAGATTGAAAATCTATAACTCTCTTTTCTATAGACTAGATAAAAATTTTCTTCCTTTTTGGTTGAACGAAAAATTTGCCTATATATATACTATATAATTAATAATATTATCAAGACAAAAATAACAAACTTAATAAAAGTAGTTTGATACTTATCATTAATCATATTGTAATATTATGAGATTTAATTGGAGTCATATTCTTTATCTCTTGAAATTGGTTTCTTGTATCAATAGATTGTAATATATTATCTTTATTATTGTGAAGCAATGACTTTTTGGGTCTATTCTCACTATTTTCATTAATAATAGTTTCATCACTTATCTTAGAAATAACCTCAGTATCGATTTTTGAAGATTCTAATATTAGAACAATCTTATCATTAGTATAAGTTGGTATATCAGTACTAATTTTTTCAACTTCGTTTATAATTTTTCTGCGTGCAAAATATTGATTGAGATTTTTGCTAGATTTACTAACTGTAGAGATATTATTAGACTTTGATATATTTTTTTTGCTATCTTCACCAATCACAGATACTGAAATATCTTCTGATTTTAGACGCTCAAGCTCACTGATCTTTGAATCTAATTCACTCTTTATATTCACTAATTCAGACTTGAGAGACCAGATCTTAGAATCTTTTTTTGATGAATCTTCTTGGATAGAAAATGTATCTTTTTGGGCTGATATTAATTTATTCTCCAATACCTTAATCATAATCTGAAGTAATTTTATTTTTTTTAATTGGATATCATACCTGACTTTATACTCATTATAGAAAATCTACGATCAAGTAATCTGGGATGCAAGGTTAGTGTTATCTACTCTTAATTGTTTAACCTCATCTATAAACTAGAAAGCATGCTTGGTGAGTTTTTCTTTATCTTTATTAGATTGTTTTAGATCACGTTGTATATACTTATTGTC